ATAGATAGATAGATAGATAGATAGATAGATAGATAGATAGATAGATAGATAGATAGATAGAAGATAGATAGATAGATAGATAGAGATAGGGATAGATAGATAGATAGATATAGAGAGAGATAGAGATTGAGATAGAGATAGAGATAGAGAGAGATTGATAAAAATAGAGATAGATATAGATAGATTGATAGATAAATTGATAGAGATTGAGATAGATTGATAGAGATATAAATAGAGATAGAGATAAATATATAGATTGATAGATAGATTGATAGAGATATAAATAGAGATAGAGATAGATAGATAGAGATTGAGATAGATAGATAGATAGATAGATGATAGATAGATAGATAGAACAAGCAAAAGCTTTTTTTAAACACTTTGCAAGCGTCTTGAGCCTTTAAAGAGCTGGATATGTCTCAACATTGCAAGATCCGAGGAAGCTAATAAAACACATCTGTCTCGTAGCCAGTGGAATAACGACAGAGGCGGCGTCCGTTCAAAAGCCTGCAGGCCAATATTCAGACTTCCTGGATTGCCCCCAAGACGCTCTGAAGGGCAACGACCACAATGGCCCTGCGGTCGGAGACGCTGCCCGTTGCCGTCCAAAACAAACAAAGTGATCCCTCCAATAGGAAAGGAGGGTTTCGGGACCAAAACCCCACGAAGCGTCCGCATATTTGTAATTTAGCGGCAGTCCCGAGCTGCGCCAGGGATGAAAAGTGGGTTTGTAAGGCTTAGTGTTGGCGAAAGGGGAGGAAAAAAGAGAAACTCCTTTGGGGGAAGAAAAGAGAAATCTATCACGGAATTCTCTTTTTGCGTCTCTGTATAACACACAGAAACGTCTTAGCTTTTTAGTTGGTGGATCAGAAAGGTCGGCAGTTCGTCGGTTCGAATCCCCAGCGCCGCGTAACGGAGTGAGCTCCCGCGATTTCTCCCAGCTTCTGCCAACCTAGCAATTCGAAAGCACGTTAAAGAATGCGAGTAGAAAAATAGGAGCCACCTTTGGTGGGAAGGAAACAGTGTTCTGTGTGTCTTCGGGAGTTGAGTCCTGTCGGCCACATGACCACGGAGAGGTCTTCGGACAGCGCTGGCTCTTCGGCTTTGAGCTGGAGATGTATACCGTGTATGGGTTCTGGGAAGCCGGGGGAAGGAAGGCTGGGGGG